TTCTTCATGAGCAAGAGGTTAGAGACCGCCAAGCGGTTTTATGAGGATATGAAGAGTAGAGGAATTTCCCCCGATCTGGTTACTTATAACACTATGATTCATGGGTACAATCGGTTTAAGATGATGGATGAGGCAGAGCAGTTGTTTGTGGAGTTGAAGGGGAGAAATATAGAACCTAATGTGATATGCTATACTACCATGATTAAAGGGTATGTTGATGTTGGGAGAGTTGATGATGCTTTGAGGTTGTTTCAAGAGATGAAGTCTTTTGGTATTAAGCCGAATGCTGTCACGTTTTCAACTCTGTTGCCGGGGCTTTGTGAGGCTGAGAAAAAGGATGAAGCTGTGAACCTGTTGAAGGAGATGGTTCAGAGGTATATTGCTCCCAAGGATAATGCAATCTTTGAGAAATTGCTATCTTTGATGTGCAAATCTGGGGATTTGGATGCAGCTGCTGATGTCCTCAAGGCAATGATTCGGCTGAGCATTCCCACAGAGCCTGGTCATTATGGTATCCTGATTGAGAACTTTTGCAAGGCTGGAGTTTATGATCGAGCAATCAAGCTGCTTGATAAGCTTATTGAGAAAGAAATTATTTTGAGGCCCCAGAGTTCTATCGAGTTGGAGGCTAGTGCTTATAACCCAATGATTGAGCATATGTGCAACCATGGGCAGACTGAGAAAGCTGAAGTCTTTTTCCGGCAGTTGATGAAAAAGGGTGTTCAGGATTCAGTTGCCTTCAATAATTTGGTGTGTGGGCATGCGAAAGAAGGAAAGTCTGATTCTGCTTTTGAGATTTTAAGGATCATGGGTAGGAGAGGGGTCCCTGGAGAAGCAGATTCTTACAGGTTACTCATTAACAGCTACTTGAGTAAAGGTGAACCGGCTGATGCCAAAACAGCTTTGGACAGTATGCTTGAAAGCGGGCATATTCCAGAGTCACCACTATTCAGGTCAGTGATAGAGAGTCTATTTGAAGATGGGAGGGTTCAAACTGCAAGCCGAGTAATGAAGAGTATGGTAGAGAAGGGGGTGAAGGAGAACATGGATTTGGTTGCCAAGATTTTGGAAGCCCTCTTTATGAGAGGTCATGTTGAGGAAGCACTGGGACGAATCGATCTACTTATGCAAAGTGGATGTACACCTCAGTTCGATAGCCTTTTATCTGTTCTTGCTGAGAAAGGGAAAACAATTGCCGCCCTCAAGCTGTTGGATTTTTGCCTCGAGAGGGATTGCAGTGTGGATTTCTCAAGCTATGATAAGGTGTTGGATGCTCTCTTGGAAGCAGGGAAGACTCTTAATGCATACTCAATATTGTGTAAAATAATGGAGAAAGGAGAGGCCTCCGATTGGAGTAGCACCAAAGATTTGATTAAGAGCCTAAATCAAGAGGGTAACACGAAACAAGCAGATATTCTCTCCAGAATGATAAAGGGAGGGGAGAAAAGTGGTCAGAGCAAAAAAGGAAAGAATGAAGCTGTTGTTGCTTCCTGATTTGGCATATCTCCATAAGCAAACCTTGAAGGAACTAGAAGGAGATGCCCATTGAACTTGTTAAATTCCATATTGGCGCTTGTGATGGGTGCTGGGCATTCGGAAACAACAGGAGGGACAGTGCTTGGTCGGAGTTGTACTAAGCCGCATTAGTTTTTGGTTAGGTGAGATTTTCCTTTTTATTCGCCGGTTTCATTGTTACTTTGTTGGTTGCAACAATGTTTTTGTGCCTTGCAAGTTGAAAGTTTTGTTACCGAATTCAAATAAAGCAGGTCCTGTTCATAGTTATGCTGTTGTTACTATACTCTCAAATTGCTGTGACATTGTATTGGGTAGTTATTACCCCTTTGCTTTGCTTTTCTGGAGGGCAAAGAATGAACAATTCTAAAGACCTTAAATAATTATGTTCCGCAATCCTTTATTGTTTACGTGTTTCATCTCGTCGCATATATTTTACGTTTCAATCGATGTTTATGTATAAAACGAACTGAGATTATTAAGTGCGAGTGAAGGACGATATGTTTATCCAATCAAAGTTTGAAACAGTACGTGTTGAGTAATCGAAGGCCATACAAAACATAGCAATACAGAATCCAAAGTTAAACCACAATGGGGATGGTGCCTAACAAGTAATAAGAGATTAAAAAGCAATCGTGTTTATGCAGTAATTTCTTCTTCTTCTTCGTCTTTATGATCCTTGTCGTCGAACATGATTCTTCTTTGTTTCCCGGAGGGTGTGTCGTTGGGGGTTTGATTGATGTCGGAAACTCATCGACTTTAATAAACGGCATCCCAAAAGGGTTTCTTTCTTTTTCATCACAACCAAAAAACCGATCGTTAGCGGCAAGGAGCTTATTACTCAGCTGACTAAGCGCATTCACTTCTGCGTCCGAGGTCTCTAGTTCGAATTCCCCATCCCACGGTGTTTTTTGTGTAAAAGAACGACTATCAGCGGAGTGGTGATGATCACCTCCTGAAGAGTACTCTTTTTGAAAAGGGTCGTCCGTTGGATTGGACGTGGGAAGGTTACTTGTTTCCTCAACACTAATACTGGGGGGATTGTTAGGTAGTATAGGAAACACAAAATCTTCACCCGTATCTACGTCCAGCTTGCAGGGACTTTGAACAACGACCTTGTCACTGTCGAAAGCAAAAGATTCAGCAGCGAGATTGTCATCTCGATCGAACAATTTGTTTGAAACTTGAACAACATCATCGTCAATTCTTGCATGGTTTTTCGGAGGAATGGTTGGACGAGGGCTTGAAGGTTGTCGGAAGCTCACTTTCTTTGTCTTCTTCAAAGAAAGTTGAGGTTCTACCTTAAAACTGAGAGGAAATATGGACGGTAGCCTGACATTCTTCATCATCTTCTTCATCATACCGCTGAAGAGATTTCTTTTCTTTTCGGAATTAGGAGTAGTGATGAACTCATTGGACATGGGAAGCTTGTATCTAGGAGATGACTCAATTTCTTCGACCATATTTACTTGACTTGTAAACAGTTGACAAGCCAACCTGTTGGAGCACTTGAAAACAAAGTTTGATCAATATAGTGTTTTTGATTCTCTAAGTTCATATATATAGCTTGCAAAGAAGCTAATTTCGCCTAATCTTTTTTAGTTTTTATTGCCTATAATGCGTATGTTTTCCAATTAAATCAGGTTTAGATTAGTACAATCTTGTGGATAACATTCCTCTCTCTCTCTTCTAGGTTTCCTCTTTTGTTTTTGTCTACTTGGCTCCCCTTCTCTTTCAGGGAAGTTTTGATCACAAAATTCCCGCCAGGAATGGGTTTCCTCTTTTGTATTTGCGCGACACGGAAACGAAACAATACCCAGAGTTTGACCGGATTTGACCGGAGTCAATTCCTTCAGTCAGGCGGAATAGAAATACCGCCAAATGGGTGGTATTTTTTAGACTTGGCATTCGTGTCGTGTTTCTCGTGTTTATGTCGTTTTCATGTTATATCCGATAACTTAACGGGTTGTGTCGTGTAATACCCGTTAAAGTAAACAGATAATATGATCCAACCCGAAATTAAACCGTTAATATTATCAGGTGATATGACATAACTTGTTACCTATTAACAAAAATATATTTTAAATCAATCAAAATGAAAATGAAAAACATAATTTGATCCAAAAAAAATATAAAACATAATACTAAATTAGTATATACATACTAAATTTTGGAGTTGACCCCTTCATGAAAGTTGCAAAGCTTTTCGTTATGAGTGATTACATTTTTCACACTTCTACAATAATTATTATTAATTTTATTAATTGTGCACTCAAATAAAAAACACTGTTCATGAGATTTGGAGGGTTTTAAAAATCTAAACGACCATGTAATCATTGTCTAAGCGTTGTGGATGCAATTATAAACATTTATTATGCTTTCATATCTTTCAGACTTATACATTAATGATTATGAATTTTGTTTATTTTAAACTCCCTTAAAAAAACTATTCATGAGAGTTTGTATGGTTTTAAAAATTCAAATGATCATATACCCATCCTCAAAGCGTAGAGGATGTGACTATGGGCGTTTGCATTTTTTTTTCTTCATATTTTTCGCACATGTAAATTAATTATTATAATTTTTTAAATGTGTTTGGTATTTTAAATTACTTGATATTTTTATTTTTAATGTGTTTTATAATTTTTAATCTCAATATTTGCCTATAATATACTATAAAAATAAATAAATAAATAAAACTTAAATTTTATATTTTATATAGAATAATAATTAATAAACAATATATACATATTCATTATATCTATTGTATTTTATAGTAAGTTTTTGTTTTAGTAGTTTAAAAAATTAAAATCATCAAAATAACTTTTTTCTTATCGTGCCGAAATAGGTTACCTATGTGTCACTCTCGTGTAAACCTATTAAGGACCAGTTATTAATGGATTATTATCGTGTGACCCGATTAGTTATCATGTTGACCCGAAACCCGTTATTGTCGTGTTGTTTACATGCCGTGTTAATGGATCGGGTAAAAAATTGTCAGATATAGTATTTCTATTAATTACTAAACAATACAGAATGCATCAATTTTATCTAACGGGTACATTTTTGCTGTATGATATACACACAGGCTACCTAATAAAATGTGCTGGCTTATAATTTGAACATGAATACGTGAAGCTGTTTGAGATTTTGAAAATCTGGATCTGTCGGTTATTGTACCATAATAAGTTTGTATTATTAATCTCTTTATTAGAATTTTATCATTTTTTTACTTGACAAGAGGGTAATGTATGAAAACTAGCAATTGTACACGTACTATGCGTGTGCTTATTTAAATTTGAAATGAAATTTTAATATCATGGTATTGGCATGTGCTTGTGATTTTTAACTCGACAAGAGTGTCAATATCACGGTATTGGGCAGTTGTGTTCGTGTTTGGATTTTCCCACATGCTAGTTTAACAGATCGTTTCATGTAAACCCGTTTAGGGAAAAAACCCGAAAACAAAAGAACGACGACTGACTGCAAAATTCAACAGGGTGCTCAACTTGAATACTGTAATGCAATGCAGGAACACCATCACCATCCAAAACTGAACGAATTTACATCATTGACAAGAACCATCCATCCATCCATCCATCGTTAAGATCCAAAACATTCATTAAGTCTAACTAAATTTACATCACAATCTTTACAAGATACTCCAATCCTCTTCTTCCCCTAGATCTTAAATGTCACCCTCCTCTTTGCTTAAGACCTGCTTTCCCTTGCATCCATCTGTTGCAATGGTGAGAAGATCTGTGTGCTTCTCACTTGCGCTTCGGTTTCACAACTGTCAACTGCAGATGGATCACTGCCTCCTACATTAGCAGACGAACACGGAATCTCATTATCTTTTGCACTTTTTCTCTCTTCAGCTTTTACACCTGCGACAGCTTTACAATCAGTTTCATCACTTTCGATCTTCGGTGAATCAACGGGATTTTCAGCATTCGTTGACAAATTTTTTGACTGAGCTTTCTGGTCAGGTGATTTATCCTTTTGAACTCGGTCATTCGGTCCATCCCTAGAGATCACTGCTCCATCTTGGACCTGATCTGTCGGAGCAGAGCCCGGCTCAGCATCCAGGTTACAGCTAACAACATTGGTCTGTCTGGATAACATTGCGTCACTAGTTGGAGTGTGCTGACTTGCCTGAGGAAGAACTTTTGAAGACCGAGGGCGTGTAGTGCCAGGTGTGGCAGCAGTGGATGAAGGGATGGAAGGTGGTATAGCAGCCGAGCTGCTACGCATTATATGTACATTAGGAGGAAGTTCTGAGTGGGTAGACATGCTGCCAGGTTTAACAGATTGGGTAGAAGAACCACTTGTAGGCATGATTTGGACAGCATTCTTCGCCTGAGCAGCCTTGAGAAGTGATGCAGCATCTGAAGGAAAAGCAATGCGAGCCCCAGCAGCAACCGCAGCGGCTCTTACCATACCATTAGTAAGCTTCGGTATAGTTTTTTTGGCGATCACTGGAGCTTTTGTTGTGGAGCCCGACAATCCTGTTTGATATGTTTTCACTGGGTTAAGGCCTTGCTGGGACTGCGGTTTTGCTTCAGCAGTAGTACAATGCACAGAGTTGCTAGTTGCATTTGTTCCAGCAAGCTTGCTGTGCGTACTTGTCCCAGCTGTTTACAAGAATACTGTTAGTTACAGATTGACACAGTACTAAATAAATTACGTAAAAATGTCAATAAAAATCAAAGAGATAAGAACCAATCAAAACATTCACAACGGTTTCAGTAATTAAGGTGCCAAAAATCACCCCTTAATGAAAGACGCGATTCATGATGCATCGCATCCACGGAAAAGCCAAGACTTCAAAAACAGGGGTGAAGACAATCCCAAAAATAGCAGAGTGATCAATAGATAATGCAGCAGCTAAAATATTAAAATTGCTTGACAGTTTATGCACATCCATAATTTAAAAGGCAAAAAGAAAATCTTTGTTGGCAATGGCATTAAGAAAGTCAAGAAAGTGTTATGTTATTATAAGACTTTCAAAATACTTCCAAGTATACTATGCAGAAACAATAAAACGTATACATTATTCCCTTGACTCTAGGACTCGCTATTGGGAACCAAAGAAGTTCAGATGGAACTCAAGAGTTCCTTGAAAATCTGCAGGATTTCATGGAAGCAACATAAGAATTATATGTACTTTCCTGTAAACTAAAAACAGCATAGATGGGAGAGAGAATCACCGGTGCCAATTGTATTAGCTGTGATGTTAGGCATATTCAGGGCTATGGACAATGAATGAAGAGCTGCTACCTGTGCTTCTGAAAGTTTACTACTTGAGCCGCCTCCAACATTCAAGTCTGGATTGTTCGTCCTAATTTTTTTCCACCTCTGTAATATAAACCCACAAAAATAGTAGGAACAAAAGGCATTAGTGCACTTTGTTTTTTTTTTTTTTCTGAGGAAAAAATAAATATACAAGAGCGGACAAGAAGTCCACAAAATCACAAACGAAAACAGGATATATAGCAACATCGCCCTGAAACTTAGAAACAATGAAAACTCAACATAACATTAGTGCACATTCATGCTTCTAATCACAGCCAAAAGAAAAATAGTTGGAACACGTGCATAGCTTGAAATGAACTGCCCACAGCCTATTCATAATTCATAAGATTTAACATAATATATTCATATATGAAAAATGGAAATCCACTGCCGGGATTTGAACCCGGGAAACCTGGGTAAAACCCAGACATCTAACCGAACTAGATGACAACAGAGTATTATTCACACACAGTTGCTAGATGTGCAATTACATCTATATGGCAGCTACACAACTCCACCATAGAAGAATCTTCAGAGTCTATGGTTTGATCAATTCAGCTTAACTTCAATAATATACATAAATCAATCACTAATAGTAACTTATGAATTAACAACTCAATTTATTCAAAAATCGTCAAATAATGTATGGTTTCAACCTGAGTTTTCATATACTAGCACATCAACACGAGCTACAAATGAAGTACGGAGTATAGCAAAGAAGTGGCATAATGTCATACGTTTAATGGTCACATAAAGGATGATGCGTTTCTGTAGAAAACGTAACCAGATTATTATGTGCAAGTAAAGGATGATATGTTTATTCAGTTCTTATTTCAGTCTCCAACTCCACTACAATCTGACAACTGGACTATAAATTCAACAAATATAAACAAAACTTATCCAAGTACAAATACTCGAGTCCTATTACACCACTTTAAATGACAAAAACCAAGGGACTCTCTTTTCCAAAGTAAAAAATAGATAAAAGGACCAGAACCAAGGGATAATTCAAACTCTAGGTCATCTTCTGGAGAAATTATCTTTTTCAAAAAAAGAAAGCGAAAAGGAACCTCGAGTAAATTAGAATGCCAACTAATTAATTCCCCTCTAATACGAAGGGCATAGACAGAGTGATTAATGGCCCATAAACCAAATAACACTCCCACCCACTTTGACTACAAGACAAGTTGGGAAAATAATATAAACGTATATTTTTTTTTCGTTTATATTAATTTAAGTCATTTAGAGCAGTTGGCATTAAGCTCTACATCTCTTTGTGTTAATTTATTTCATTCTTAGATGTCATCTATGCTTCAGTCTATTTTTAGAAGTTGTTTCACAGTTAGTTTTAAGTTTATTATGATTCTTCTTCTACTGCAAACTGGGTCTTCAAGTACTTTTGGAAGTCATTTCGTGCCTAGTAAACCATAATCTTAAGCACGATGTTTATGTTGTTCATTTCTCTAAACTTCGGCAAGTTTATTAAAAGTATCTGTAATTTCTACCATCAACAAACCATAATCATAAGCATCATGCTCAAGTTCATTTGTATTTTTTCTTTTTGGAGGAATTCTTTATGCCCCTTTGGATGCATCAAATTACAAATAGAGATGGGAAAGAATAATGAACCAAAACATGAAAAGAAACAACAATAAAGCCAAAACCAAAATATAAGACTCGAGAACCAGTTGCGGTGATAGAAAAAAAAACCTGCTTTAGCTGATTAGGTGTTCTGTCCCCTTTGAAATCTCCTCGTAAGATATTTGCCCAATTTCCTTCCCCATGTTTTTTCACAGCAGCAATCAGCTCCAAATCTTCAGCCTCAGACCACTTCTTTCTTCTCTTTCGAGGAGCCATGACATTTCCTAATGCATCATCTCCTTCAGCAGTTTCCACTGTAGATGCTGTCACTACAGGGAGGGGATTTTTCAGAACCGAAACTGGAACTGTAATGTTCTTCCCTCGCATTGAACATGTTGCTTGTGAATTTTGATGAGATCTAGATGCCTGGCCATTGGGTAAATTCATTGATAACGGACCCTCAACTGTTAAACCATTTTGATGACTTGCGTCACTTGATAAACCAAATAAAATTAGAACCTGGCCAAGAAAATAAACCATTTCAACAAGATAAGCTGGCTAGATCTTTAAGTTAGTAAGGTAGAAAATAATCAAGAGATTATACAAATGTAAACTCTGATGTTTTTTATAGGAGACAAATTCATTAAAGAGAGGAAAAAAGTAGCACAAAAAAGTGTGAAGAGATTAAGACAGCACCAACAACCTTCAAAACATAAGAGTACTAGCAAAGAAACAAAAAAGGGATGCCAGAAAATTGCTGATGAACAATTCTTGACCCAATGATGCAAAAGCAGTTGCTTGGTTGGACAAAATTTATCCATATAGCCAGACAGTAAAGAAAGTTTTACAATCTCAAAAAGAGTCTTCTCGGTCCAAAAATAGTTGCATAGTAAATGGTTATAATATCAGTGTTACAAATTTTAAACAAGTCGATTGTTTGACATGAGCTATAAGCCTACAACAAGCCTGTTTTGAAGTTTCTAATATATGTTGCAGTGCTGGGCATTATAAGTGATCCTTTGAGTTAATTTGTTTGGAACTTAGGAGTCTAAGGCATATCCTACTCCTACTAGGAAAAGGAAAAGGTAAACAAATGTGAGACCACCTTAACCCAGTAGCCATGTTGCAGACCTTTAGATGTTGATCACATGCTTTCTCACTTATATAGCTCAGGTGAAATATCTTTATGCATACTGGAATTAGAAACGATAAAAGGAGGATTTCGAAAGAACCACAAGAGCAGTTTGAATGTTCATGCAATCAGAAAAGGTAGCTTCAGCAGGGAACTATAAGGCTCTATTTGGATGGACAATTTAAAAAAAAAGGGATTTGGATTTGAAACAAGGCCAAATTTGCTATGAAAACTATAAAGCGTTAGATTGAATGTATTTGAAATAGTTACATCAAGGAATCTTTTTGTTTCTTCTCCCTTTTATTCTAAACATACAGCATTAACCTCCATATTGATATCTAAATTCCCAGATTTATGGTTCATTTGGCACTGCTTTTGGAACAGCTAAAGGTGCTTTCAAATAGCCAAAAGCATTTCCAGCAACCTTGGCAGAAAAACTAAAAGCGCTTCTGGATTATAAGCACTTTTAGTGCTTTCTGCAGAAGCTCCAGGCACCTCTTCAGATAGCATTTCAATGTGCTTGGAGTGCTTTCTTTAACAAATAAAGTTTTAAGTGCTTTCTGTTGTATTGCAACAAGACAAGTTTTATTGTGCTCGCCTAGCAAAAGTGTTCCAGGTAGACGCATTCCCAAAAAGACCCAAATTAAAGTCAACAAATCAACAGGCAAGACACTCCATTCAAGGACCTGTAAGGTCTGAAGTAATAAACCCTGAAGCCTGAAGCAAATCATATATTAAGTATGTACTCATTTATATACCTTCGCACATGCAGCAGCTTCTGTTGAAGCTTCAGCACTAACAGCAGGAAAAGATTCCACTTCGTATTCTAAATCACTATCATCATCCTGCTAGAGAAATTTAACATGACTCAGAATATGGAAAAAGGAAAATGAAGTCGTTTCCTGCAAGTTATAATGAGTGGGAACTGATAATATACTTCATTATGACTCAATCAGCTTGCAAGAAAATGCCGCACATACTAACCTCAGCAAGAAAATTGTAATTTAGTTCGTAAAACTTGAGTATATTTCCATGAAAGTTACATGTCTATGCACAATATAAAATTTGAAATTCACTACGGAAATATACACAATTACCATGTAGGAAACCGGTGACTTAAAAGAGCACTTTAGATTTCTTTTCTGTTTTTCCTTTTTTCTATTTTATTTGGTCGAATGAGCGTTTTATAAATTCATTCAGAATTTAGTTCATACAACTTGAATATATTTCCATGAAAGTTACATGTCTACGCACAGTATGGAAATATAAACAATTACCATGCAGGAAACTGGTGACTTAAAAGAGCGCTTTAGATTTTTTTTTATTTTTTTTTTTTCTATTTTATTTGGTTGAATGAGCACCTAATAATTCGTCCAGTAGACTAACGGCAAGATTTCTACAATATACATAATTCTAATTCAAACAAACAGGCTGGAAAAATTAGTGATGTCACAATAAATGTTCCTACTAAATTATCATTCCATTTACTTGCAATCATGTCCACAAATAACAGCTCTCGAAAGCAGATTGTACATCTAAGTTAACAGCAATTTAGTTATGGTAACAGAGGAGACGGGGTAAATTTTTTAAGTCTCTCTCCTTCTCACGCACACTCAGCGATTAGAACACCCATTATACTCACAATCCCACAAACCACATCATTCACCAAAAAATGAAAACCTAATATATTACATATTTATCGACATACAACATTTGTGTAAAAGAGTAGAACAAACACCATAAACTACGAATGAAGAGAAAAGGGTGGGAAACAGACCAAAGGTTGAGCCCCACTGTCTAATTTGTCAAGCAGAGCTTCACGATACGCTAAATGGCGCCAAAGCATCTGATATTCTCTGGCATTAGAAATTCCAGTTGAAGTCTTGGCCACCAACCGATTCCAATCGATCTTCTCATCAGGATAGTTCGCCACTTCCCGCACCAGGGCCAGCACAGTCGTCGGCGCATACCTGCCCATCAGCAATGCAAAAAACAAAAACCCCACATTAATGATTAAACCCAATTCACCTAACAACACAAAAATCCCAAAATCCAAAATCCAAAAGAAAAAAAAAAAAAAAAAACCCATTAAACCCAATACTCAAAAAATACCAATAGAAACAACCCATTACGCAGAAATTTCAAATAAAAAAATAAAAAAAAACCACATGCATAAATATATATATAATAAATTATTTATATATATATATATACATATATAATATATGCAACATATCGAAATCGATGAGAGAGGAGAAAGAGGTACCTTTGTAAGAGAGTGGCGGTATCTTCTTCGGTGATAAAGCCCTTCTTAGGGTCCTTGGCTTTCTCAAGCATTGCTTTGATCACAGTGAATTCAGTTTCGCATAATATGAAATATGGAAAGGCCAATGGAAACCTCTGAAGGACCAAACCTTATTGGGCTTTGGGCAAAACCCTAAACCCTGGAAAGGGGTTTAGACGCGGAGGAGAAAGAGAGAGAATGAGAGGCGGAGGGACGGCGGAAGAAGCGGCGGAGCGTTGAAGAGCGGAAGGACGGAGGGGAAGGAGTTTTCAACGAGGTTTAAGGAGAAACGGACTCTCTGCTGACTTCTATCACGCTCTATCGACTCTAGTCAGAACTCAACTGCTCCTGCCTTTGACCGGAAACTACCCCCAGTTATATACTTAACTGTTTTCTTTTTTTGTATATAAAACTAAAGCTAATTAGATTTTACAACTCTATTTTTTTTATCGCTTTCAAAATTGACCATAAAGTTTTTTAACTTTTCACATTACACCTTTATGTTTTAAAGTCGTATTAATGTATACCTTTTGTTTCTTTCATCATCTAATCATCCATCAAAATTGATGAGTTTTTTTGTTAATATCTTGTAAATGTAGCTTACACGTTAGCTCATATAAAGATTTCGCACTCAACATAATATCAATTTAATGTTGTATCAGATCTTCAATCAGACCAAAAAATGCATAATAAAAAAATTGAAACTTCGTACTACATTTTAAAAATCAACCCAAACTAAAGAGTGTGAAAGGTAGTTAGCTAATAAAATTATGTATATCAAGTCCCTTAAGGAAAGGGATCGTCGTTTTTCATAAAAATGTGAACGATTCACTTCGCATTCTTTTACGACGGTTCGAGTTGTTTACTTTTTAAACTTTTATCCATAGATTACCGTTACAAAATAAAAAATAAAAATAAAAAAAAGTTAGTTTAATTCAAAATTCTTTACTCATTTAATTGTCATGATAAAATTCAATATTTTTCTAAAATGTCATGTTCGTCTATTTCTTTGCACAACCATATTTCTTATACTTTGCAAGATTATGTATAAAAGAAAATAAATAAAAAAAGAAAAAAAAAAGAAAAAGATGATTGTCCGAAATTCAAGGCTCTTTTTATAGTAGGTAACTAAAATGAAGAATTGGAGAACAGGAAAGGATAGTGGTTGGGTGAGAGCAAACATACAATAAAGTAGGAAATAATTTTCCAGATCCAAACATATATTTTTTTTAAAAGAACTAACCGGTGCATTCGCCACGTCCATTCACCCTTTTAGGGTTGGGAAGACTCACATATGTATTTCAACATTTCTTAACCATCATGTCGTGATTTATCAGTATTATAAATCGAACTCATGACGTAGCATATGAAATATAAGACTGAAATTTATCCCCAAACCACACTTCCCCTGCTGTCAATGTCATGCATTCGCTTCCCCTTTAGTATTCCAAAGAATATTGAGACCAGTTTGAAATTCCATCTTTTCTTAATTCAACACCACCTTTTTTATTAGAACTATGGTTAGATTCGACTTGCATGGATACCCGGTTTCATATGTACTATTACGATTGAATCATTATAAGTCTTTGCTCGTATCTTTTGTGACGTGTGTGTGCTCGCTTCGACGAGGGGTTGTGGTCTCTTAGTGTTGGCGATAATTTGATGCGACCTCGTTTTTTTCAGCGATACTTTTGCGTGGGCATCCAGTGTCATATAAGTTCTACAAGGTAAGTAAGTAATGACTTTGTACTGTATTTTGCCCATCCCTACTTCCGAGTGTCCTTCATGTTCCATTTGCAAACATTTTTCCTAGAAAATAAAAAATTGAATTTGCATACATTTCCCCTTACAACAACAACAAAACGTTTTCCCACTACGTAGGGTCGGTTGTATGAATCCTAAAGCATCATTGTATTTGGTTATGTGTCACATCTTCCATTAAATCCAAGTACTCTAAGTCTTTTCTTAGAGTCTCTTCCAAAGTCTTTCTAAGCCTTCCTCTACCTCTTCGACCCTGAACCTCTGTCCCATAATCGCATCTTCTAGTCGGAGCATTAGCAGGCCTTCGTTTCACATGTCCAAACCACCATAACCGATTTTCTTTCATTTTTCCTTCAATTTTGGCTACTCTTACTTTACCCCGGATATCTTCATTCCTAATCTTTTCATTTCTTGTATGTCCACACATCCAACGAAGCATTCTCATCTTCGCACACCCATTTTATGTACTTGTTGATGCTTCATCGTCCAACAATCCCTACGTTACTAGCCTTATTGTCATCCTATAAAATTGAATTTGCTAAAAAGCCATGCCAAAGCCAAAAGCAACCATAACTTCGGCTTCTCCAGAAAATACTAACAGAAAAATTACGACTTGGGCTTCTTGAGAAGCTTTTATAAATGTTCGTAAAAAAATTGAACTATACCGAGCCTAACAGTGTTTAGTTGTAACTAAACAAGACGACATTAAAGTGATTGATTGCATGAGAATGTTGAGTTCGGTCTTGGACATTACAGGGTACACCCTGTCGGTAGCAAATAACAAAAGACTAGTAGCAAACTTCAGTTTTATTTTAATTACCATAATTCACCATAAATCTCCATGCAACATCAACCAAAACAAACTACATGATTCATATGTGTTTTGACATTTTTGTAACTAGCTAACATGTAGTTTCCCTAAAATTAAATGGCCCCTTCTATTAAAAAGAGAAATAAATAATAATAACAATACAGGCAGACCGAAGTTGATCTAATTAACTAAAAGCTTTTGGGAAACCAGGTTTCTGTTCCCAACACTTGTTCAAATCTGCTGCTATAAATTTTGAAGGGAAGAGATCAACCTTCCGAAGCCCGACCTTGGAGGTATATATAATTCCAACGTTCTTAAAGATGGTACAAAACAAGGCAAAGGAGGGAAAGCGGTATCACCAGACATCTCTAAGGTATCGTCCATCCATCTGAAGTTGTTTCACGGTAGCTTCTGCTTTCGTTGAGTCCACCTTTTCCTGAATTTTTTTTGCCAGCAATAACTTGTAAACATGATCCAACTCGACAGGCAAATAAGACACAATATATGGGTAAACAAGCTATCACCCAGCAGTAGCACCAGCTTCAAGATTATTTTTACTTTCTCTTTTATTTTGGAAATTACCAACTTCAAACAAAAACGGATGACTAGCAGTAAAATGGGCGGTACTATCCACACCCATTTTTACTTCCCACACAACCCTTGTTAATTTCTGTCATTTGATCGTTTTCAATTCATTTGATCCGACCATCGGGAAATTGAGAGAGGCGCGTGAGAGGTAAAAAGGGTTGTGTTGCTAGCACCACCCAGTAAAAATTAGTGAAAGCTTTGCTCCCTCCTACATTAAATACACTTCCCATAGATCTTCTAGGACCAAAAAACCGCAAGCACAAAGATATTGCCTAGACTTCTATAGCCATGTGTACATTCTGTAGCTATTTCATCCGTTCACAGGATTTATGTGTGCGCATTCTGTAGCTATTTCATTTGTTCACAGGATCTATATGTGTGCGGGCCCCGCGTGTTTGTAAAATAAGGAGAAGGGGAGAGAGAGAGAGAGAGAGAGAGAGAGAGAGAGAGAGAGATTGGCACCTGCTGCTGGACAATGGTATGCAAAGTCCGATGAACATCTCTAGCCATTCCTTTGGCGTCACCACAAACATAAAGGTACCCCCCTTGAGATGCTAGGTCCCACACGTATGCTGCCTGAATATGGAATAAATTGGTGCGACTGTTAGATAATTATCTAATTAAGAGAGACCACAATCTACCATTTTAATTAAAATATTAAAATTTTAAACGAGACCACCTTGTAGTTCTCACAAATACTTACTTTATCCATCAGTTTATGTTGAACATACTCCTTGGTTGGTCCCTCGCGCGAGAATGCAACGATTAACTCAGACAACACACCTTCTTCCATAAAGTTATTCAATTCATCTTCATAAATGAAATCCTAGAAAAAATAAAGATCCAGTATATATTTATTCATCCACCAGAAGCACAAAGTATTCCAAAATATCAAAAAATATTTACCATTCTGCGGTTTCTACATCCAAAGAAGAGCAGTGCAGGTCCTAATTGAGCACCCTCCTTTTTCAGGGCCATCCTTTCCTGAAAAGAGAGAAATGATACTTTATTTCTCCTTTTTCCCACAAATAAACAATGCAAACTCAGACTAATGCAATTTCAAACCTGTAGAAATCCTCGGAATGGTGCGAAGCCCGTACCAGGCCCCACCATGATAATTGGGACTGAAGGATCATCAGGTAGCTTGAAATTGGATTGCCTAATAAAAATAGGAGCCCAGCTACTGTTATGGCTTTTCTCTAGAGGAACTGCATTCTGATTTCATTCAAAAAAGTTTGTTGTTAGATGCAATCCAGCCCAAGTTGTGCTGTAAGAGAGTATGGAAGGCTTTAGCATTTCAAAAACCCTAAAAATATACACAATGATAGGGACAGACAAAGGGCTGCATAGTCACAATCGATATTACCTTCATCCAGAATGAACACACTCCTTTGTGAATTCTGCCAGTTGGCGTTGCACCATAAACTAAAGCACAGGTCACATGAACACGATGGGGCACAAATCTGTTTAACAAGCAACAATATTAGTCAGGTTTCTACATGTCTAATTAATTTCTAGAAATACTATGATAAATAGTACAGGGAAATCACCTTGGTGAAGATGATATGGAATAGTAACGAGGCTGTAAGCGAGGGGCTACTGCAGCAAAAAACACACCAAGTGGAGGCTTTGCTGATTGGAACTCAGCCATTACCTCAACAAGACTTCTCTGACTTCCAACAATCCATTTTGAGTACTCATCCTGGATGGTGGAAAGCATGTGATATGAGTATAGATGAAATATAAAAAGAACATGGAAACAGAATCAAACAATCTAAAAGAGTTTTCTTGATTGCCAACAACCTTCCCCTGAGGTGATGATAAAAATTTAAGTCTTTCTGCTTCACTCGGTTCAACAGCATGTGCAGCCAAAGCAAGTAGGGCAGCCTGACAGGATAAATCATTTGAAATAAACAATCAGTATAAAAAGTTAAAAACACAAATAAAATCAACAAAAGAAAAAAGTAAGAGAAAGGCAATAGCGGGAAACAAAATGATCACCTTCCGAGGTGGATTCAACAGATCAGCATAACGTGCCAATGCTGTGCGGACTGTGCAAGGACCAGGGAATGGAGGCGGTAATGAGCTTCCAAGAGATGTGCCATCATCATTGTCAGTATGTATGGAGAATAGCAAATCTAAAGGTTGGCCCAAGAACTTTGCAGCTTCTTCAACTGTTTCATCACAATTGTCTGCATAAACACCC